CGCCGAGCCCCGCCGACGCCAAGGCGCCCCCGCCCGCCTGCTACCCGGGATCGGCGCCGGCGCCCTCGCAGGTCAAGAGCAAGGCCAAGAAGACCGTGGACAAGCACAGCGACGAGTACAAGATCCGGCGCGAGCGCAACAACATCGCGGTGCGCAAGAGCCGCGACAAGGCCAAGATGCGCAACCTGGAGACGCAGCACAAGGTCTTGGAGCTCACGGCCGAAAACGAGCGGCTGCAGAAGAAGGTGGAGCAGCTGTCGCGCGAGCTCAGCACCCTGCGGAACTTGTTCAAGCAGCTGCCCGAGCCTCTGCTCGCTTCCTCCGGCCACTGCTAGCGCGGCCCCCGCGCGCGCGCGCCCCCCTGCTGGCCGACCTCCGCGCGGCCGCCGAGACTCCGGGGCGCGCCCGCGCTCCCGCCTCCGCCCCTGGTGGCGCCGGCAAAACTTTGGCACTGGGGCGCTTGGCAGCGCGGGGTCCCGTCGGTAATTTTAATATTTTATTATATATATCTATATTTTTGTCCAAACGAACCGCACATGCACCCGGGGTGCCCGCCCTTGGTGTTATTTAAAGAAGAGATGTCTGTGTGTACAGATGAATGATAAACTCTCTACTCTCCCGCGGCCCCCTCTCCCGGCGCCGGCGGGCGGGCCGGTTTCGAAGTTGATGCAATCGGTTTAAACGTGGCTGAACGCGTGTGTACACGGGACTGACGCAACCCACGTGTAACTGTCAGCCGGGCCCTGAGTAATCGCTTAAAGATGTTCCTACGGGGTTGTTGCTGTTGCTGTTGTTGTTGGTTTTTTGGCCTTTTTTTTTGTATTATAAAAAATAATCTATTTCTATGAGAAAAGAGGCGTCTGTATATTTTGGGGATCTTTTCCGTTTCAAGCATTAAGTAAGAACACTTTTAATAAACTTTTTTTTTTTTTTTTGGAGATTGGTTTTTTAAAAAAAAACCTTTTGGGGGCAGTAGTTGGCTTTCGACTTTTCCCCTTTATATTGGGTTGATAGGATTTTGGCTTTTCTGGCATGGGGGGAGGGACAGTTATGTTTATGTGGGGGCTGGTAGTATTATTTTTGGCAGCTGGGTGGGGGTGTTGCAGCTGGGGTCTATTTCCACCACCCCGCCACCCCACCTCCCACCCCAAAGTCTGCTCGGAGCTGGGAGAGCCAGCTGGGGGGTGGAGAGTACTGGGTCAAGCTTTTGGGGTGACTCAGCACCCCGGGGTGTTAGGGACGGGTGGTTGAGATCCCTACTTGGAGGGTATGGGCTCTTTTGCCAGTCAGCTGGGTCCTTAAGGGCCAGGCCCTTGACCCTCATACTATGTTTAGGGACCATACAGGTGACATGGGATTGGGCTATAGGAATGGTACCGGTCTCTTTCTAAGTGCAGTGCTTCGGGCATTTAAAAAACACTGGACGTACTTTTTTGAAGAGGGGGACCTTAGAGCGGCTGTTTGCCTGTCACTGTGGGGGTGGGGAGGGGAAAGGCTGGCCAGGCGGAGGAAGGGCCTGAAGGGGTCCTCACATCTTTAGCCTTCCTTGGGGGCTTGGGGATTTGCCACAGGCCTTCGGGGCCCAGATGTGCACACAGGCCTGGCATTACCTTGCCCGCCCAGGAGGGTAGAGTCCAGGTTTGAACCTGTAGCCGCTACTCCCAATTCCTCAGGATAGAAGCTGGCCCTGACGAGGCTCCAGTTTTCCTGCCCTCTGATACCCCCCGCCCGTCCTTACCATCACCCCTCATGCCCGCCCT